AAAAAAGTTATATGAGATGCATTCACCCTATTTCTTTTAAGGTGGTAGTAGAATTTTCCCACAATCATATAAGTAGAACTGACATTTCCATTCAATTTCACAGAGTCTTGCTTTCCCAAAGTGGTTCCCATCCAGGTTGAAGTGGACTGCAGTTTCGACCTGGCATAGGTATTATCAACACCCTGTAAGGTGATGAAAGACTGGTTGTAAAAACACTACTTGCAAACTTAAACGAAATAAGGTGACTATATCTCATATAACTGATTTACTGGTAGTCTCGAAACTCTACTTAAATACGAAAAATAAGTAAAATAGTCAATTGTTACAGTAAATATACGTGTGATTCATCGACAATGCCACCAAAGAATATAATATTGCAAAAGGCCTGGGCTTCCTTGAAATTCACATCTGCCCTGTGACCCAAGGGCCCTCGTGGTAATGTGACCGAGTGGTTAACGTGTCAAGCTTACATTCTACACTGTCACGGTTCGAATCCCGCTGGGGTTCGAAACTGCAGTCCATTTCAGAATGAATGAGAACAACTTTTAAGAAAGCAAGGCTCTGTGAAATCGAATGAAAACGTCAGCTCTACTCATATCATTGTGGGAAAATTCTACTAACCGTCCCTCATCATCTTTAACAAAATAGAGTGAATACGTCTCATATCAATGATTACTAGCCAGCCAAATGCGATTTAAATCACCTACACAACCTAGAATCATCAGATTCTCCATCGAAATTTACTCAACTTTTGGAGGCCTACTCATACCGAATATAAGTAATATTGAAAATTGTGATGGCATATACACAATTGCTTCATCCATACAATGTCACAAGAAATATTATTTTATAGAGGCCTGGGTCACACCGGCCTCCGTGGATGTGCTGTAGAGCGTTAAGTTGCCTCCGCGATGTACTCGATCCTGCTTCATATCCCTTCGAGGGTATTGATGAGATTAAGACGAAGTTAAAACTTCCGTCCACATTTATACGTGGCTATAGCAACAATTTTTCACCAGCCCTCATACGGCAGGCTTATTGACAAGCCAATTGAGGGCTCTTCATCTGAAGCCCTTACGAGGCTACGCATGGCCAGTAAAGAATGTGAATCAGCCAAATCGAACAACCCTTTTTGTCAGGCTTTTTCGTAGAACTGACCATTGGTACTTTGCTCAATCATGACAAAACTTAAAAGCATAAAACTACTACTCCATGACCAGTACTCAATAGGCAATGTAATATACATAAACATGAGGGAGCATGCCAAAAAGTGATCGTCATACCAGTCAGATCAAATCCACTGATCGAGGGTGAATGTTTCAGTCCAGGCTCATCACCATAAGGCTCGGCTTGTTCGGGGAAGCGAGCCTGGGAGGTTATCAAAGTCTCTGTCTGTTCTCCTTTGACAGCATTATCCAAGACTACGCTGGTTGGCGGAAGAGATGGCATTCCTGTGCCCAGCCCATCGTTGCAGGCCGACCAGCCAGCCTCGCGATCGGCAAGTTTTGCCTCTTCTGCCTCCAGCAGCGAGAACTTATTCGAAATCATAGGAGGATGTGAGGTCTTGACACTTGATCCTACGACATATAAAGGAGAATTTGGCGTCGTTGGCGCTATTGGAGACTTACTCGAGCCATTTCGAATCGTCTCCACCTTAGTTTCGAGCTCTCCATTCTCAAAGCCAACTTGCCTTGCTCCATGAGATATAGAATCCTCACCTGCTGCTGATCCTGTCTCCCCTGTGGTCACATTCACCGATTGGACAGTCCGCTTCTCTTCATTTTCTCTTAGATTCACTCCAGCTGATGAAAACTTTTCCTCACCAAGTGTTGTTGAATTCCACATGTCGGCCGCACCAGATGTTGTCGTAATGACCCTGGGCAATGAGGTCGGAGATGGCAGTAGCCAATTAAATAAGCGCTTTAAAAGAGTGATTCCTCTCTTTCGATGAGCCACGTGAGAAAAGGAGCGTAAGCGTGAATCGCGACGTCTTGCTTGCATTTTTCTGCGACGCTCGGCACATGGACACACTTTTATTTCAGAAAAAGGC